ACTTTTGACGGGGTTGCAAACCCGCGCTGGTTCAACACAAGTCGGGATGAGGGAATAAATAATGCATGGATACCAAAAGAAGAAATGTAACCCCCATGCTCTTTCTCCAGGCCCCTCCGTGCCCCCATGGATATAGCGTGGGGTACACACCTCCCACGGGCTCCATCTCCATCACCTCAACCAACCAACTAAACCAACCCGAGCCGAGAGCCACGCGATCCAAGGCTGATTTCCGAAACATTGGTACGGGGTCCCCATCACACCTCCAGCCTGTTTGCTGCTATTTAATTGTCAGCTTTCCCACTGTGCCCGACTTTCCATTCCAGATAGTTTCCGAGTGGTATTCTAACGTTTTTCGCTTTTTCTTCCGCTCTCTTTTGATGCCCCTTTCGGTACGCGGCTAATCTGACTCGGACATTCTCCGCCGATTAACTCGGCACCGGCGCACCGCATTCCTAATCCCGGGGTAACCTTCTCGGTGTCAAAGCGTCAAAGCAGCGGTCTTTATTTTGCGACCCTGCTTCCTCCATCATAGTAACCTTGAATAGCCATATAGCTAGTGAAGTGTTTGTCGACAGACAACGGACCATCCAACATGTCGTGCCAGTCGCAGGCTTCATGTGAGGGCTGCTCTTGCAGCGGCAGTGGCAGCAAAGGAGTGGTTAATATTGAAGATTGTGAAACCGAGCTGCTCGCCCTCCGGAAGAAAACCATAGAACTTGAAAAGACTCTTGCATCCATGAAGAGTTCGTCAAGCAGCACACCGAAAGTCGGACGCAAGCTGCGGTCCACCAAGTGGTTTCAGTGCGAAGGCGACCCAGGAATGATGGCCTTGTACATTGAAAGATACCTCAACTATGGTGTGACTCGGGAGGAACTGATGTCTGGCAAGCCAATTATTGGAATAGCTCAGACCGGATCCGATTTGGCACCGTGCAACCGTCATCACCTGGAGCTTGCCAAAAGGGTCCGAGAGGGTATCAGAACTGCTGGCGGAATCGCCTTCGAGTTCCCCACTCACCCCATTCAAGAGACTAGCCGACGGCCCACCGCTTGTATCGATCGGAACCTTTCTTATCTTGGCCTTGTTGAGATCCTTCATGGCTATTTTCTGGATGGGGTGGTCCTCCTCACCGGGTGCGACAAGACCACTCCGGCATGCCTGATGGCTGCTGCCACAGTCGTACGTTGTTCTGCAAGGCTTGCATCTTATTCTTTCACAGCTGCCCAACTGACTCGGATTTTCAGAACATCCCTGCTATATGTCTCAACGTCGGTCCCATGCTCAATGGCTATGTGAAGGATGAACTGGCTGGTTCGGGAATGGTGGTCTGGAAAGGCAGAGAGATGCATGCTGCAGGACAGATCACCACGGAGGAATTTGTAGATTACATCTCACGCGGGTACGTCACTTGATTTTGGACACGCTTTCCTGGCTTGGACTAACGCTTGGCATTAGTGCACCGTCAGCAGGACATTGCAACACGATGGGTACGGCATCTACTATGAACGCGCTTGCAGAAGCCCTTGGCATGGCCCTGCCTGGGTCAGCTGCCATTCCAGCTCCATACCGTGAACGAGCCCAATGTGCCTATGAGACCGGATTACAGATCGTAGAGATGGTGCACTCTGATCGCAAGCCAAGTGACATCATGACCAGAGAGGCTTTCGAGAATGTCATTGCTGCCAACACCGCGATTGGTGGTAGTACAAATGCTCCCATTCATATCAACGCCATCGCGAAGCATATTGGGGTGGATCTTTCGCTAGATGACTGGGACCGCATCGGGTTCCACATCCCGCTCTTGCTAAATATGCAGCCGGCGGGGGAGCTGCTAGGGGAGGAATATTACCGAGCCGGAGGGTTGCCGGCTATTATGGCGGAGCTGCTGGATGCGGGCAAGTTGAATGCAGATGCTGTGACGTGCAATGGCCACACAGTAGCACAAAACGTCCGTGGGAAACATACCTGGAATCGGCGGATGATCAGAGCTTATGACGATCCTCTTCTCAAGGATGCTGGCTTCCTTCACTTGACCGGCACCCTGTTTGACTCGGCCATTATGAAAACATGCGTCATCTCTGAGCCGTTCAGGCAAAAATTCTTAGAGAATCCCGCAGATCCAAATGCATTCGAGGGGTCTGTGGTAGTTTTTGATGGACCGGAGGATTACCATCGTCGGTTAGAGGACCCCTCCACCCCCATCACTGACACAAGTATCCTGGTGATGCGCGGGGCTGGTCCACTGGGCTATCCCGGTGCAGCTGAGGTGGTCAACATGCACCCTCCGGGAAGGCTGCTGCGAGAGGGGGTCAAGTCACTTCCATGCATTGGTGATGGACGGCAGTCGGGAACTTCAGGATCTCCATCTATCTTGAACGCTAGTCCTGAGGCAGCAGCGGGCGGTAACCTTGCAGTCCTTCGGGATGGAGACCGGCTCCGAGTGGACCTTAACCAGCGGCGGGTAGACATCCTTGTCTCTGCGGACGAATTAAAGAAGCGCAGGCAGGAGCTCGAAGCAAGTGGGGGTTACAATATGCCGGAAAGCCAGACCCCATGGCAAGAGTTATTCCGCAAGGAAACGTCCCAGCTGAACGAAGGAATGGTTCTCCGAGAGGCAGTCAAATACCAACGGCTGGCGCAGCGATACCCGGAGCCCAGGCACAATCACTGAATAATGACTATTTTGTTATGGATTAATCTGAATAATGAAAAACCATCACTTCTTTGACTCACCGGCCGCTTCATGGGGTGGCGCGTGCGCGCAACACAACACAGTTCATCACGCAGGCTTGTTGCTTGATGATATCATGTTGTGTAAACAGCTCAATACCCATTATAGGAAACGCTATTAGTAGGCATTCAGTACCCGATCAGACCTCAGTCCGGAGGATACACCACCGGGCCAATAGAGCTGTATGAGCTTAAAAACTAATGAGCTAGTGAAAGCTAATTTTGGGAAGAGAGTATATGCGAGATAGCATCTCCGCAAGGGTATTAGGTGAAATTCTGACGCGTGGGATGGCACATGGAGCACAGAGTATGGAGGAAGCTTTGAAGGAATGTGAAGCTAAGCTCCAGGCCATCTGGCCACTGCTCAATCACGGGATTACCAGCCCCTCCTCTGAACTGTTCCGTCTTCTTTTCGTGCCTGGGAAAGAGCGGAAGACGTGCGATCTGTGCGACATCCGTCCGTGAGCCTCTGTTGACTCACTCCCGTCTACCTCTCACCCCCCTAAACAGTGCCGGTCTTGACACCGCCATAATGTGCTTGATAGCACAGGGGCCTGAGCAACCATCAGAAACACTGGTTGTGGCCCAGTGGTGAATTGCAGAACTAGGAACCTTGGAATGACTGCACGCCTGCATGAACAACACGGCAAGGCCGTGATAATCCTGGCTTCTGTGATTCGATCCCAAGAATGTAGCTTGGCTCGGCCAAGCTAGCTAATGCGGTGATTATTTCTTTTTTGAACTTCAGTGTTGCTCATCTGCTAAAAGTTTTGATAGGAGAACGGCGCTAGTGATATCATGTTCTGGCGATCGCAGCTAGACTAGCTCGCTAAGGCATCTTAGCCACATGGTGTGCGACACCAACAATAACAACTATGCTACTACCCTCAGTACTGCAGCCGAAGAAAGGGATAGAAAGTCAAAACTCAACCGAGGAAGGATCGAGACCAGCCCGAAAATGAGAGCCAAGATCGGGTGATTTCGTGATAGAGGTCTCGAACCCCCAAGGTGAAGTGTTCACTACGCGATGCTCCGGGTGACCTGATAGGGGGTGGTGGTCGTGATGGAGGCCACCAAGCAAGGACTTGAGTCACCATGGAGTAGTGTGCGCCATAGGCACAGCCACCGCAGCCCGGAGGTGAAGTAATTTTAGGCAACTGAATCTAGTGGATGATGTGATCCGTGATGCTCACGTTCGTACTCGGATTCTCTTTTTGCTCTCTCTCAATTTTTCGACAGCTGATTGGAATGATACAGTCTATGCATCAAAGCAACACACCTCACAGCTCGGAAGCCACATATCCAGGATCGGGATATCAAAATACGGGCCTGGATGGCGGAAAAAGACACAGAAGGGAAAAGTTAAAATATCGCCCGAGGGTGGATCCCGTGGGGCTCGGGTTTCCCGCGTCAAAGTTTCCTGTTGCAGGGCAAAGATTCCATTGATTTAGGGCGGGATTAGGGTGATTAGGGTGATTAAAGCCACGGAACGGATCCAGTTGCAAGTTCAGTTGCCCACGCTACCGTTTGGGATGACGGGCGCCTTCTCAGTGTGGTCTAGCCCGTGACATCAAGAAAAATTTTCCACACTTTTCCAGTTTCCACACCCACAATTCTTAGGTCCGTCTGACTGACTTACTCTGACCTCAGACCGCCCCAGAGGCGCGCACCATCTCGAATTTCCTGCCTCTTTTTAAACCAATCCGGTGCTCGTCATTTGTCCAGTTGCTCTCTCGCTCTCTCCCTCCTTCCAATTCCTGCATACGTCTCCCTTTGACGGACATTCATGCTCCTTGTTCCCTTCTGTCCAGTCAGATGCGAGCTTGCCACCATGCGGTTCTAAGAAGCAATCTTAAAGAAAGAGCTGTCCACACCGTCCCGCTGCTTCTACTGCTGCGCCTGTTGCTTTAGCTGTCTCGCGGCCCCTCTTCCCAGCTTCCCTGGTCTCCTGGTCCTGTCGATCAGTCCCAATTCCAATAAATAAAGCCCGTCTCAATCCATATTTTTCTTCCTTCAGGCTTCGCGAAGAAAAAGAAATCTGACCCTCCATTCAACCTTGGGCCGGGCCTAGACTTGTCGCCAGGCACGTCTACATATACATACAATCGCACACACCGCATCGTTACAGCGTGTCGTGCATCTCGCTCTTGCCTTCCCCTGGACTTGAGCCATCTTATCGGAGGCAGTCTCGACGAATCCTACTTCTTAATCAAAGCACTTGGGGGCACAATCAGCCTTTATTGATTGTTGCCTAACATCCTCTTTTCCTCCTTCATCTTCTACTTTCAGGTTATACTACTTGTTTGTTTAAGATGTACGTCGACTTATAACCCGTCGTTGCAACTCGCAACCCGTTGTTTCTTTGATATTCTGTTCATCAGCAAGCGAGCGTTTTCTCGATCTTCTTTCTACACATTTGAAGTTTTCAAAATCTCTCTCGACATCGTGTCATCCTGAAAAAAGCCTACTCAATTCTCATTACCATGGCTCCCAACCTCTTTCTCTGCTTGCGGAACGTGTTCTGCCCGACCTACTGGTTCCAGCGTGGAGAACGCATCCAAGGTTCTATCCACAAAGAGGAACATTGGGATAGTCCCGTTCCTGGCATCTACAAGTACATCCCGGGTCGAGGATGGCATCTTGTCTACAAAGACGGCAATGACAGCGACGAGAAAGTGCCTGTCCCGCTTGTCTATTGCCGGATCCTTCACCGGTACATCTTTGAACACGAAATGGAGGAGCGCTGCCGCTGGCACACCGTGGAAATCCACGAAGGCGCCAAGCCAGAAAAATTCATGTTCTTCCTCCTTGATGATGGATACACCTGGGTGGCCGGATGGGATGCCAAGGGCAAATTCATTCCCGGTCCTTACCAGAAATGGCACTACGATGCAGAGTCGAGGACCCTGCGCCGGGTGCTGTTCCCCGAAAGCTCGAATGTGTCACGGGCTAGCATTTTGCCGAACAAGATGACTTAGCCCTTCTCGAGTGGGAACAAACCGAAAACTTCTTTTGCTGTCAACACATTTGCTTAACCATTGCGATGCTATCTGCAGCTGGATTCTACAGAACATGCGGTGGTCGAATGCGCGTGCACACGACTGATTGATTGCTATATGGGATAGCGTTTAAGCGAGGTGTCTTTTTTATTTGCTTCCTTTTTTTTCCTTGTTTGCCTTTGCTACTTTTTTATGATGATATTCACACATGAGCCTGTAATGCTGGGATGAATCTGCTTTTCTGCAGTGACCTTGTTTACAAAGCGACAATGGCGTTCGGGTCAAGGTCATAGAAAATCGGATAGACATTGCGATAGAGCGCATGGGGGTTTGGCTTGTCGTATTCTTGTTCATTTCACATTTTCTGTATTTGTTATATTTCGGGTGACTGATCATTCAGCGAACCGCACAATGGAGCAAAAGGACAGTCTATTTACATAATATCTTAGTATGAACGTATTTGTCATGGGTCACTTGAAGCTCAAAATTGAGAGATGTACTCGGGTAGACATTGTGGGAAAGTTTAGCGCATGCAAGTCCGGGTATGGATGGGATCGACATGACAGCTGCATGAGATGTATCGTCGCAGGATTCTTCTTCCTTTACTTACTGTAAGTACTCTACTGCACTTTTCACATGTGAGCCGGGATGTAAATCGGGATTGCCGTGGTCCTATGGATGACGAAGTAAACCGGAATCCTTTCCCTGCTCTTCCAGTATTTTCAATCTATCTCTACACCAGCCATCGGGTACATAAGACTTCCACACCATTGAATAGCCAATAAATGCCACCAGGACACATAATATAATACTCAGTATAACCGCGCCCCCTTCTATCAACTATATACAACCCCCCCCCCCCGATCAAATATCCATCCCATTCACCAGGAACAGAACAGGCCTCACCACCATTCCCCCAAACCCTACTCACAACTTCGCCCCCTTTCCACCACCAACAGCAGTATCATCACTCACAATCAACCTCTCCAACCCCCTCCTAACACCGATCTCCATCCCCTCCCTCGTCGGCCTCATCGTCTCCCTCGCCACAAACACATGCGTATATCCCCCAACAACCTTGACCTCTTCCTCCCCTTCCTTAAACACCCCGACTTCATACATCACGCTGCTATTCCCCAGCTTCGTGACCCGCAGCCCCAGGTCTAGTATATCCGGGAATGAGACCGAGGAGAAGTAGTCGCAGTAGGAGGAGACCATTATGCCTACTTGGCTGCTTTTGAATTTGGATGGTGTGGAAGAGTTGGTGGAGGAGGAAGAGGAGGGGTCAGGTGTAGTAAGCGTAGGGTTGTTGTGCGTGAAGGGATCCATTCCGCAGTGCGTGATTAAGTAAGTGTTTATTATGCTGTCGAAGAGCATGGCGTATACGGTGTTGTTGAGGTGGGCGTACATGTCGTTGTCGAACCTGTGTTTTTTATCTGTTAGAGGTGATGGATTGGGTGGGGAGGGGGAGGGTGGTGGTGGCTTACCATCTTGTTCGGTGGGTTTGGTGGTAGATGTAGTCGCTTCGGAGACGGCGCTTTTTGTGTGCTATGGAGGTGGACATTGTGGATTAGATTTGTGTGTGTATTGGTGTGAGTGGTTGTTGGTGTTGAGGGATTGTTGGTGAAGGTTATGTTGTCTATATGGTAGATTGAGGGGATGGGATGGGTAGGTTGGAGCTACCGAGTTGAGCCGAGGCATAAGTCCTCCGCCCTGAGCTTGTTCCCACGGGGCGGGAGGGTCATCCGACGGCCGTTTGTTGGGCGGTCGCCCCTGGCGGGATTCAGCTTAAGTTCAAGCAGTGTTTGGTGCAAGAATTCTAACTTCAGGGATTTTCAAGCATTGCTTGTTACTTTATACAGAGTTTTTACATTGTTTATTATATTGTATATTCAAGCTACTGTATATTATTTTCCCTGATATTAATACAGTTTACTAAGGACTTGTCAACCACGGATCTGTCAATAGTTCGCGGGCGCTCTGTCTCTCTTCTGGATCCCATAGAAGCATCTTCCTCATAAAGTTCATGAACATCTGCTTGCTCTCGCCTTCTAGATACTCTTCTGAGTCAGCCAATGAGATGGACGGGATTTCCTTAGAAGCCTTCCATTGACCTACAGTTGATTAGCTAGTGGATAGAAATGTTCTAACGATGGAGCTATACCTGACGAGTCCCATTCTTTTAGGCTGCGAGGTGATTTACGAAGCCATTCCACTGATGGAGGCCCCAGCATCGCTACCATTTCGGCCAGAAGTTGCACATCTGAATGGCAACCGTCTGGTCCTCTGCCATCAAATAGGTGGTGGTCTTCGAAGAGATCCCAGATCTTGAGTCTCATATTAGCCGATGCCATGATGAAAAAGTATAGTAGAGGGCCATGTTCATGCTCACCATGACTCCGACATTCCATATGTCAACCTTCGCTGTCCAACTCATCCCAAGAATGACTTCAGGCGCGCAATAAAGATCCGGCTGGATCAATCCTTCGTGCACTTCACCAAGACGGACTTCTCCGAAATCCGTGAGCAGCGGCATCCCGAAGCCACTCCAGCCCTTCTTGCGACGGAAAGGGCGTGATTGATAGACAGTGTACTCATTATCAACCTTGCGAGGACTCGGTTCATTAGTCTCGCCATCATCCCATTCCCGGAAGACCGATTCGTCTTTTGCAGCAATGATGATATTCTTCGCTTGGATATCTAAAGAGGTCATTAGCCATTTATAGATGATAGCCCGCGACGGGTTACAGACCAGTATGTATTACATGCGCCTCTGAGTGTAGATTATCAAGGGCCAGTAATAGCTGCTGCAGTGCCCCTTTTAGTAGGTCCTCGGGAAGGCTCATTGGGTCCAATGTTGCCTGGAAATGCAGAAGGCTTGTTAACAGAGGTTCGTAAACAATGCGCTGATGTATGCCTTTGGGACTCGTAAGCTCAAATTTCTCTATCATTTGGCGGACGGAGCTGCTGCCGGGATGCTGTGACTTTATCCGCGAAAGGTGCTCCAATACGCGCACCTCTTGATTGTCCCTCGAGCTGCTGATGTAGATTTTTAGCGCTATATACCGGTGGTGTCTACCTAAGAAGTTAGCTACACATACGAGATCCGAGAAGAGTAGACTGATACTCACTGCAAGTCACGACCGAACCACACCGTCGAGTTTGCTCCAAACCCCAATTTGCTGATAACTTGGTACCTAGAATGAAATACATCACCAGGCTTCACTGAACAGTAGAGACCACGCTCATACGCAGGCATTTGTTCTTCCTCTAATTTCTTTGTTGAGTCCAGAATGGGACAGCTAGATGACATGGCCCTTCTTGGGAGAACTGGCAGTCGAGAGAATCGACTGAACTGAAGAAGGATCTTCATCGCAGAAAGGTAGAGTTGTATGTTAAAAGCTATTGATCATGAGGATGTTCATAGTATCACAATATTCCTACAACCTAACTCATTATTCTTATTGCCAGGACTTTCCTCGAAAGGGAGCCGCCGAGGTTCTGTTGCTTGCATTATATTACCTCTTTCGGTAGTGATCTGCATAGTAAGTCATCGACACCTTGTGGATTAGGTGTCGATCTCTTGTGACTAATCTATTTCTGGGCTAGTGTCATGTTTTTCCATACTCAATATCGATGAAGGTGGTTCTCTTCTTTGAGATTGTCTGATATTCTTAAGCTTGCATTGGTCACATACATGAGCTATGTGGAATGTATTATTTTCACATGTCTTTCGGTTGAATCTTGAACATCCTTGTACTATCTTGCACGTGACATTGGAAACTCACCAGACATAGCACCTATGAACCACTGTAGTCTATTTTCGACTGAATTTCCCATTTCCTCTTTTAAACTGGTTACCAGGTCCCTTACCAGTGATTTCTGGAAATACGTACGATCTGGCGACCTGCCGACCTATACCACTGTCCAAACCCACTCCTAGTGCGCTTTGGATGCGTGACTACTCGACCACCTAGTTAAAGGCTAGAAGAAATCTGAGCCAACAGCTACAAAACGCGTAATAGTTATAAGTGTCACTCGGGCAATTTACTCGGTCGTTGATGGTGAAACCTTCATGAATGAGTGGAAGCTTGCACTACTAACCGAAGCAATCCTATATTCTCTGTCCAATCCCTGCTAAGCTCGAGAGCGCCTCAAATAGGAAAATTGTTTACCCGAGCGGACATCTCGCCCCTAATCGCTACATCTACATGACCCAAGATCGGTCTAGATCCACTCTTTGTTGGCTGAGTTCATCCATCTCGATCACTACCCTCCAACAAAGGTGCCTATTTCAAAGAATGGCCCAGGACCATGGCTCACATAATGTCTTGAAACGTCGTCTACTTCGCGGGGAGATCACATACGCCGCCGCAAAGGAGCAAGACTCTAATATCCTCCACGAATTGGGATACAGGGATCAGAAGATCCGATATTTTACTCACTTGTATCGAAATCGCAAGCTAATCGAATCAATCGTGGCCCACCATCTCAACCTCCCTTCTGCAGACACGTGTCATGCAGTCGATGTTGAGGAATGGATACATGGCAGCTTCAATGTTTGCATACGAGTTGAGGTTGATAGTCAAGGGCGGGATCCTAGGAAACAACTGATGATCAGATTTCCATTGCCGTACCGAATAGGGGAGAACTCTTGCCCAGGTAATGCGGATGAGAAGGTTCGTTGCGAAGCTGGGACCTACTCATGGCTTCAAGAGAACTGTCCAACTATCCCTATACCACAGCTGTATGGGTTTGGACTGTCTACTGGCCAAGCTGTATGTCCGCGCTTTGCCTGTCTTCTAAGAATTATTGCTTACAATCCCAGTTCACACTTATCGATAATCTGCCTTTCGTAAACCGCATTGTTGAGCGTCTGCGCCGTCGACTATTAGCTTGGCTAAATTATCCAACCCCATCCCTCTATGTTCAACATCGAGCCAATGGTCAAACTATGTTGGGCACCCCTTATCTTCTAATTGAGTACATCGATCCGTCGAGAGGTAAAATGCTTTCTGAAACGTGGGAGGAAGGGCGCCACAATCTCAAACTACGCACAAACCTTTTCCATGGGCTTTCCCGTATTATGTTGGGTTTGGCACGTATTCCGCTACCAAGAATCGGGTCCTTCCTTCTGGATGAGAAAGGATACTTGACTTTAACTAACCGACCTCTTACCCTTGAAATCCATCAACTGGAAAATGAACACATTCCAGTCGACATGCCGCAAAATATCACTTATACCACTGTTGACGCCTATGTCAATGACATCCTTGCATTTCATGAAAGCCGGCTTCGCCACCAGCCTAATGCAGTCAACAATATTGAAGATGGCTTCTATCAAACATCCGCATTGATGGTCATGAGAAGTGTCTGGACCTGCTTTTTTCGCCGTGATCTCCTCCGAGGTCCCTTTTTTCTTAATCTCACCGATCTTAACCAGAGTAACATCTTTGTTGACGACGATTGGAACATCAAATGTCTAATAGATCTCGAGTGGGCATGCTCTCAACCAATGGAAATGATACATCCGCCGTACTGGTTGACAAATCAGGCTATTGACTTGATCAGCATGGCGGACTATGAAGTTTCTCACAGGGAGTTCATGGAAGCCTTCGCAGACGAAGAGAAGAAACTCGAGCTACCAGTCCGTCTCTATCCTATCTTGCAGCATGGATGGGAGAGAGGGACATTTTGGTGTTCTCTTGCGCTCAGTAGCCCTACGGCTTTATTCAAGATCTTTTATGACTTCATTCAACCGAGGTTTTCTAAGGCTCACGACGATCCAGCTTTCTGGCAAATCACTATGCCCTACTGGACATTCGACACCTTTAAGTTTATAGAACAAAAGGTGAAGGACAAAGAGCAATATGATATTTCTTTGCGTGAAGCTTTTGAATCCGGAAGCTCTCATGACTAGAGCGTACAAAACCTGATCATCCTCGCTCACTGCCCTTGACCTGCACGCCTGCTTCCCTCACCACTTTGCTCCTCCTTCCGTTTAAAGTCTTCTACTGCATTCTGGAGGCTCAAAATAGACTTCTTCCCCCTGTTCTGCTGTGCAGCTTTGCCGGAAGAAGAGAGTTGATTGATTGATTTAGCGTCCATCTTCATAGCCACGTGTGCTTCTTCAATTTTACCATCGTAACTTGAATCCGAGTGTCGGTCCGCCATTTCAGTTTCGGGTCTGGAATCTCTTGTGCATAATCAGGGAAAACTCCCAGCTACCATTCAAGTTTAATGCTACTGTCTTTAACTGGGTTCGAGGTGACTACCTTGGAAGCCTATGCAGAGATATTGTCGGGTAGGTGATATGAACAGAGAACAAATGTGAGCTCTCAAACTCCTGGGTTCATGAAAGCTGGAAACAGGAATACTAAGAGGGTAACCACTCAGTTGAAATGCTAAACACTTATGCAAATGTGCTGGAGTGGGGGGGGGAGGGAAAATGTCGCTTTTATATATATACCAGTATGCCATTCGGGAGGGGGTTGCTAACTTCAGCATGAATCTTTGATTGGCGACCGGCATATTCCCGAAGTCCCGTAGGTCTAATAAGCAAACCGAGATACCAGGTACTTATTTACTACCCATGTTCGCGCCCAATATTCGTGGACCAACAGGAATGGGCGCCGTGTTGGCGCAGCGATGCTTGACATGAGACCTAACTGGCGATCAAATAGGCCCCAGCGGAGAGTATCTAAGTACTACTAGTAGTAGACCAGTCAAAACAGCCTATATACATACATTAAACTCCTGGTACTACTGGATATGACTGAAGTATATGGTTGAGTCGAAAGTTGGCTTGCTTATTGAACAATTGCGGGATCTACTATAGTATATATAGTAGTAAGTAGTAGTACTCTAGTAGACGGGGAATTTCCCCGCATCGCCAAAATTTTCTTTTCTTTCGCCGCCACGGAACCAACTCAGGAACGGATCCCTTTCTCTTGTCCCCTGTCCTTTCAGCGTAGTACTTTCGCTTTCTATACTGCCATTCTTCTCACCTTCGCTATCCCTCCTGGCTCCCTCTCCTCGCATTACCGCGTACCTATTGCGACGCGGCCGGATTCCTCCGCCCATCATGTCTCTCGTGCCCGTCGACACCACTCTGCAAGTCCCACCTCCTGACCCGGTTCAGGAGCCCCCTGAGGTGGCCATCACGCCCTGCGACCCATGGCCTGCACCATACTATCTTGAAGGCGGCCTGCGTCGGGTGAAGCCATACCACTACACCTACAACACTTTCTGCAAGGAGCGCTGGCGGGGTCGTGAATTGGTGGACATTTTCCTGTCGGAGTTTCGCGATCGTCCTGCAGAGTACTACGTACGCTCCCATCTCTTGGCTATTCTTTGAGGAACAATATACTGACCTGATTTTCTGGACTGCAGAGGAAAGCCCTACAAGATGGCCTTGTCGCCGTCAACGGCACGCCTGCTGGTCCCAACACCGTCGTCAAGAACGGCCAGATCATCTCGCATACCCTGCACCGTCACGAACCCCCCGTCACCGGGAAAGAGATTGGTATCATCCACGAGGATGATGATTTGATTGTCATTGATAAGCCTGCCGGTGTGCCCGTCCACTCCGCCGGTCGCTACCACTATAACTCTGTGCTCGAAATCATGCGCTCTCAACGCCATCCGGAATGGGTCCCACGACCCTGCAACCGTCTGGACCGACTCACCTCCGGAGTCATGTTCCTCGGAAAGACCCCGAAAGCTGCAGAAAACATGACTGGCAAGCTCAAGGCCCGCACCCTCCAGAAGGAGTATGTGGCGCGCGTCAAGGGAAAGTTCCCCGACGGTGTCATTGTCTGCGACCAGCCCATCATGTCCGTGAGCCCGAAGGTAGGCTTGAACCGCGTTCGAGCCACTGGCAAGGAGGCAAAGACCAAGTTCCGTCGTTTGGCGTATATCCCGCCTCAAGCCCCGGAGCCTCAGAGCGCCCCCGACGCAGAGGGACGTGTGGCGACTCCGCCTCCAGTCTACACAAACGAAGACGAAGGATACAGTATCGTCCACTGTTTGCCCTTGACCGGCCGCACGCATCAGATCCGCGTGCACCTTCAGTTCCTCGGACACCCGATCTCGAACGATCCCATCTACTCCAACCGCAAAGTCTTTGGACCGGATCTCGGCAAGAACGAAACCAGCGACGAGCGCGACAACGAGCTCATCGATAAGCTATGTAACATTGGCAAGACCGAAGTCCCCGACACCGTAAGCTACCGGACGCACCTTACCACTGTGCCTATGGTACCGCCAGGCACGGACAACTCCGTCGTGGAGGAGATCATGTCGCGCGAGCACGAAGCCGCCGTGGAGAGATACCACAAGCGCAAAGGCGAGATGTTGTCCGGCGAGAGGTGCAAGATCTGCGACACAGAGCTCTACTCGGACCCTAGACCCGAGGATCTAGGTATTTTCCTCCACGCCGCGGCATACTCTGACAAAGAGGAGGGCTGGAAATATACTAGCAAGATGCCTAGTTGGGCCCTGCCGCCTGATGGCGTGGAGGGACCGCGCGAGATGCCCGACTGGGTGTTTGGTCCTGAGGAAGAGGAGATCATTATCGGACATGCTGTTTTGCCTGGCGCGGAGGACGGCTCGGAGACGAATATTCCTGCTCTTGTGCAGGGTGTTGGCCTCGTCGATATTTCGTCTGGTAGGAAGGCAGATGCTGCTGCGCAGGCGGCTGCATGATAAACACGTTGGTTACATGGTGCATGATTTGGCGTTACTTGCATTTGCAGTTAGAGATTTTAGACATGTTGAGATGATGAACGACGGACTAACATTTTGTCACATAGTTGGATTCGTTTACTTGATACCACCATAGACAAAGTTTCATCTGCCACTTCAAATTGAACATATCATAGAACAAGCGTCATAGACAAACATAGTTCTATCTGCGGGGTAATACTACACATATATTAATACAGCTTGCTTGGCTTGTCAAGAACAAACAATTGAAAAGGCCATCTACGTAGTTGATAAAATCTGTACGGTAGGTAGGATACAACACCAAATGGGACCAACTACGAAGCTACAAAATACAACCCTCGGTCATCAAAAAAGTCTTCATAAGATTTAGATTTTTATTCCCAGACTGGCAGCACCAGCCACGATCACAAGCGCCCCCATAACAAATGGAAACGCTTGCAATCCAGCACATACGTCGTCAACGTCAGACACACACAAAGCCAAAGCCCACATTAGAGAGAAGATGCGATGATTCAAGGCTCCGCAAGTCCCCAAGATCACAAATTAACAAACAACCACCACGTAGTAGTAGTAGTTGTCTGTTGTTTGCTTTTTAATTGTCCCCCGAAAGTGGTTGGTTTTCCCATTTGGTTGGTATAAAGTGGAAAAAGAGTTTTAATGAAAAATGAAAATGAAAATGATGAAATTTCTTGGGCTTTCTTTACATTCATTCCATATCCATTTAAGCCTCGGTGGTGACGCGGCCCTTGGGGTTGGTGACCTTGACGCCGAGAGCCTTGGCCTTGGCGATGATGTCGACGCGCTTGCGGGAGGAGACGGCGCTGGCGATCCTATTCGATTTATTAGTATTTGGGTTTGTGGTAGAAAGTGGATTATGCAGTGGGTGGACGTACTCAGCGGCGTAGGTGCGGTTGTGCATCAACAGGAGCTCAACGTCCTTGGGGTTGTGGACGAGGAAAGCCTTGTGGCCGGAGGGCATCATGTGCTTGGTCTTCTTGTTGGATCCGTAGCCGATGGAGGGCATGGGGATGTTGCCACGGAAGCGTCTACGGACGCGGTTGTCGATACCCTTGGGCTTGCGCCATGACTCCGGCACGCACTTGAAGCGGTCGGACTGGTGGCGCCAGAAACGCTTGGTGCCTGGAAGGAGTTTGATGTTAGTCGGGTCGTTCGTCCTGACGACGTGTATATGTGTGATTTAGTTCAATCCGGCTGTATGTCCGTGGTCCAGCAAGCACTTGTCAATTCATGTTGTTGGTGTGTAAATATCTTCGTCCAGATCGAATCGAAATTTCGGTCGCTTGTGATAATTTCTTCGCCGATCAAGTTCGTCGTTCGCCATCGTTCTTTCGCAATAAGAAATATAGAAAAATTGATTCGTTCGCTCCGATCGTCTGATTTCTCATTCCATCGCATCGTATATATTCCTCATGCTTGCTGGACGACTGACAACTGACGGATCGTACTCTGGCTGGGAACTGGACTGGGCTGGGACTAGCAGGGAGAAAAGAAAGGACATACGCTTCTTGACGATGGGGACGTGCTTCTTTGCGAGGACCATCTGTTCTCAATTAGCATGCAACAGGCAAGCAGCTGGCAACAATATCACATACCTTGTCGTCGTCTCGCGGGCTGGCGCTGGGAGTTGTCGTACGGGTCGAAATCGATCTCGAAAATTCGCGCTCAGGTTTGGCCGCCCGAGAGAGTCGAGCTAGTGGCTCGCTTAGCGAGTCTAACTGCTCTCGGTGCGTTAGGGCTCATTACGCTTGCCCTGCATTTTGCCGGTACTGCTGACTCAGCCAGCTTAGTGCGGTGGATAAGCTTGCCTTGTGCCATTCCATATCAGGAATAGCGTATATATGCTGTGATCTACTATGACCTCCGCCTCCGCAGCACAGCAGCAGCACCGGCCCGTCGTATTCGCGATGCTTGTGTTCCATCTGTGCAATTGAGCAACTTAATTACAAGTTCAATGCCTACAGTCATACATGGAACAGGCAGCTGACACTTATAGCTTTGCCTTGTTCAACCGTGATGGTTTCGGGGGACTGTCCCCCTCTTTCCGCGAGGCTGCAATCCGTAGTACACAATGCCGGCGCTTGCCATCGGGCAGCGTTATCCATATAAGGGATGACTCCTCTTCCATGATTTTGGTGAGCAACGCAAGGCGATTAACATAGAAGTAACTGCATTGAAATTCTGTTATTCCTTCTTCTGTCAAATCAGCGGTTGCTCCCTTCAAACTGCACCATGAGCCTCGGATATGGTGTCGGGGACTTCCTCGCTGTAGTGAATCTCGCCAAGGCCATCAGGGTGCGCTTTGTTAGGGCACCAGACCAATTCAGACATATATCAGAAGCGTAGGTTTCAATACTATGCGCGTCTGTTACGATACTCACATGTCGCCAGTTCAAAGACCTTGTGCAATGTCCTCCGCGATATCAAAGACATCTACGAGCAAGCGGAGCTTGATACCCAGCAGGAGAAACACCTAGACGAAATCTCTCGCTCTTGCCGTAGTGGACTGAACGAATTACTCGGCAAATTAGACAAATACCAGGAGTTGGACCATCGCACTAATAGCCTAGGGGGCACCTGTCGTCGCGTCTGGAAAAGACTCAAATGGGACCAAGCTGAGATGGATGAGATTTGTCAGAGGATACAGTCCAATGTTCAAATCTTTAATCTCTTCAGTACTAGTCTGACTAGGTATGGGATCATAATAGCCCAGGAAGGCGAGTGCTCACAATTTCCGAAAATAGTCAAGTAGCCTTTGCTACAAACGAGCTCGTTCACCGAGTTAACAATACCATGGAAGACAAAGCTCAGCATGAACTCCTTGAATGGCTCACGATCGTCAACTATGCAACTCAGCAATATGAATATTTCAAACGTCGGCAGGAGGGTACCGGTAAGTGGCTACTAGGCACAGACAAGTTTCAGCAGTGGATTAACAACGAAAATAAAAATATCCTTTGCACGGGCATCCCTGGAGCTGGAAAGACAATACTCACTGCTATTGTCATCAAGCATCTTGAAGAGAAGTGTGAGCACGACCAAAGTGTTGGTCTCGCCTACATATACTGCAACTTTCGGCGCCATCATGAGCAAAATGTGGACGATATACTTGCGAGCCTGATAAAGCAATTGTGTCAAAGAATGTCGTCCCTTCCTGAGGATATAAAGACGCTATATGCGCAACACAAGAAACGTCAGACACGGCCGAAACTCGACGAACTTTCCGAGAGCCTTTCCGTTCTGCTTGGTCACTTCTCGAGGATCTTCATAGTGGTGGATGCCCTTGATGAATATTCATCAAGAGATGAAGCGCTACGCAGGCTGTTATCCGAGTTATTTCGTCTGCAGAGCAACAGCACAGTTAGCATATTCGCTACGTCACGGTATAACCCGGTCATCCAGTCGGCATTCGATGGTTGCTTACAGCAAGAAATTTCTGCTGCCGCTGAAGATGTAGAGACGTATCTGCGAGGTCACATGTCCGATCTGTCAAGGGTCGTGCTACGCAACAATAAGCTACAGAAGGAAATAGTTAAAGCAATTACGAAAACAGTGGATGGAATGTATGTTCCATCATATGTCTCACTGAGAAAATCCGCTCTTGCACTGACATTCATAGGTTTCTTCTTGCTCAACTCCACCTTGACTCATTGAGAGGAAAACTCTCGGTAACGGCGGTTAGGAAAACACTAGAGAAATTGCCATCTGGAACTGACGCCTATAATATTGCATATGAGGAAGCCATGGAGCGAATAAATGGGAAGACGGCGGGAGAAAAGGAGTTGGCAATACAAATTATTGCATGGATCACCTGCGCTGGAAGACCCCTGACAATCACAGAGCTCCAATATGGCCTTGCTGTTGACATCAAAGAGAACGAATTCGATACAGAAAACCTTCCCGATGTGCAAGACATGGAAGCTGTCTGTGCTGGCTTGGTAACTGTGGACGAAAAGAGTCATATCATTCGCTTGGTCCATCATACCGCACAAGAGTATTTTGAGAGAACCCAGACCAAGTGGTTTCCCCGAGCGCACTATGACATGGCAAAAGTCTGCATAGCATACTTATTTTACTGCCTCCAGTCAGGAGCAGGCTTACGCACAGCCGATTATCCGTTTGCCTGCTACACTCGTCGCCATTTGGTGTATCATCTTGTGCACGCTCTTGCACTACCAGGACTGGCACGCGGCGTTCTGCTGGACAAGAAGAAGGTCGTGCTTTGCCTTCAAAAGATCTTTGCTTATAACAAATGTCTGAGAACATTTCAACGGACTGCGCAAGTGCCAGAATTAGTGACAGAAGCCCATCTGGCGGCATTCTTTGGATCGGAAGATGCGTTGAGGGAGCTGCTAGAAGCCGGGTATGCCTTGAATGCCCTTGATGATATAGATAGAACTCCATTATCGTGGGCGGCAGAAAATGGGCATGAGGAAGCCACCAGGTTTCTGATCGAACAAGGACTCGTTATAGATCATAAAGATCAGTGGGGGCTTACTCCACTCGCGTTAGCAGTAATGAATGGCCAATTCAAGGTTGTGAGGTTACTCTTGGACAATGGAGCCAGTCCGGACTCGAAGAGCAACGATGGCCGAACCCCTTTGATGCTAGGTTGTGAAAACGGCCATAACTATGGCAGCGCTCGCGATTCATTACCATGGAACGTCATTGATTGTCAAAGAAGAATAGTCGAACTTTTGCTCAAGGCAGATTGTGACCCTAATATAAAAGATGAACGTGGCTGGACCGCGCTCCACTGCGCCGCTTTTAGCAACCGCAGGCGAGTTATTCAACTATTACTCGCCAAGGGAGCTGATCCTCTAAGCAAGGATAATGCAGGTAAGATACCGCTCTTCAACGCAATCAGATGCGGGGATCGGATGGCTGTCTTCTCATTGCTCAAAGAAGTGTTTTGTCCAAGACGCGTGGATGTATCAGTCTGGAGGAATGAATCTCTTATCAATGATAACGCAGGTCAAACAGCGCTTTTCAACGCAGCCAAATATGGGGGTGCGGTTGTTGTCCTACCGTTGCTCGCCCATGGGTTCGATCCAAACCACATGGATGATTCCGGCGCGACTCTGTTGTTGTACGCTTCCTACCACAAGCTTTATGATGTTGTTAGGGTACTATTAGGCAATGGAGTTTGTCCGAATGTGACGAATGAACATCGGGGCATGACACCATTGCTCTATGCAATTCAGGGAGAACATCACTCTATGTTCATGTTGCTGTTAGACCATGGCGCTGATCCTGACCTCGCTGATCAAAAACTCGGTCGACCTCCTTTGGTATGGGCAGCGCAGAGAGGTCTTGCTTCGATGGTGGAAGCATTGTTGAGCAGAGGGGTTGACGCAGACAGCCAGGACCGTAACGGTTGGACGGCTCTGTGGTTTGCGACTTCTGCACCGTTGTATCCCGGCATAAAAGCAGGAGACGAAGTCCTAGTTAAACAAATCCTTGAGTCTGGGAGTAATTCAAAGGCTCACAGCTCCCACAACAAGAGCTCCTTGGCGGCGACCACACGCCGTGATTACGAGGGCGTTGTGGAACTACTTTTGCAGTATAAGGCGAACCCAGACGCGGTTTACGTTAATTGGGGAGGATGGACACCATTGATGGTCGCAGCAGCAACAGGATGCCCGAATACAGTTCGATTACTGCTTGATACGGGAAATGTAAGCCCCAAGCGCCAGGATGAGTATGGCCACGATGCGGCCCACTACGCACGACTTCTCTTCGAGTCCTATAATGGAGACCAACGTGACCATTAATGGAGCTGTCTGCACCGCAGACCAGCTGGAGAACGCTCCTCTCATTGCTTCTCGTGCAACAGAACCACAAGAATAGTGAGAGTCACCTGTCAATTTGTAGAAATTACCTCACATATCTGAGAGGATGCCCTATATCATTGGTGCCGTTATTTGGATGGACCAATCGGCCAGGACATCAAATTATGGGTTTCCGAGTTTATGTTTATGGGACAGTTAAATTGAAGTTTTGAGTATACTATTCAAAGAATTTACTACCCTCCTAGGCCAACCCATCACTGCAAATCCAACAGCACCTTCCCACCCTCACTCACAAACATCCCCTCCATAACCTCCAAATCAGCCAAAGCCTCCTCCGGCCGCAGCCTCTCCTCCAACTGTCCCTTCAATATCGACTCCCCAAACGCAGCCACCTCATAATTCACTCCCCGTCCCTCATACGGCACCTCAAACGACTCCCCACCACTAACCGTCACCGTATCCCGATCCAACTTAACCACACCCCGCTCACAACTAAACTCAAAGACCGTCTCATTGACAGCAGCCCCATACGACAACGACACCACTCCATTTGCCCCAGACTTAGTCTTAACCACCGCATCGAGCGTATCCACCGGCGCCAGATGCTCCCTCTGCAATCCCATCATAGCCGACACAGCCGCCATGGCATCCTCCTTACCAAGAATGAGCCTCAATCCAGCAATGGCGTGGACTCCTCCATCGAGGACAAAACCACCCTTGTATGTGGGTTTGCGACGCCATTCGGTTTCTGCGATAATATTAGCTTACCCACACCCTCCTTAATGAAGAAGAAGAAAGTAGAAGGAAAGAATAAATAACGTACGATGATACTTCGACCCCTCCCCAATCAACGTCCTCACACTAACCCTAAA